CTTCCGTAGTGATACTGCCTCAGAAACCCAAGGAGGGGTCGCTATGAGTCGGGTTTGACTCGACGGCACATAACAACAACATAGAAACAGTAATAACAATAATCTATTGGTGGATACATTGATAGACACTTAAGCTGAACAGGGGGGTGAAAACAAATGGGACTACTACCATGAATAGGTTTGACAGAGGCTATTTCTACATATGTATTTACATGTCCTGCAAACATACCTATGAAAATAGTAGAGTATGCAGGGGGCATGACTCAAAAGAAGAAGAGACAGCTGCAATCATCCATTAATAATTGGAATGTAGAAGGTACAAAGTATGAATCTGGGAAAACTGTAAGTAGCCAGAAATGAAATGGAATGCGTAAAGATCAATATTCTAGGCATTAGTGAGCTGAAATTAGTGGCTGGTATTGGCCATTTTGAATAGGGAAATCTTATGGTCTATTATGCCTAGAATGACAAATGGTGTCACATTCATCATCCAAAAGAACATTTCAAGATTTATCCTGAAGTACAATACTGTCAGTGATAGTATAATATCCATATGCCTACAAAGAAGACCAGTTAATATTGCTATAATTCTAATTTACACACCAACCACTAAAGCCAAAGATGAAGAAACTGAAGATTTTTACCACCTTCTACAGAATGAAATTGACCAAATATGCAATCAAGATGTATTGATAATTACTGGTGATTGGAATGCAAAAATTAGAAAAAAGAAGAAGCATCAGTAGTTGGAATATATGGCTTTGGTGATAGAAATGATGCCAGAGATCACATAATAGAATTCTGCAAGACCAATGAGTTATTCATTGTAAAAACCTTTTTTTCCAACAAATAAATGGCAACTATGCACATGCCAAATGGAATATACAGAAATGAAATCGACTACATCTGTGGAAAGAGACAATGGAGATGTTCGTTATCATCAGTCAGAATCAGGCCAAGTGCAGACTGTGAAACAGACAGTCAATTGCTCTTATGTAAATTTAAGCTGAAGCTAAAGAAAACTGAAACAAGTCCACGAGAGACAAAACATGACCTTGATTATATTCCACCTAAGGAGCTCTGGTGGCATAGCGTATCCACTACTACAGGCATTTGGCTACTAACCAGAAGGTCAGTGGTTCAAACCCACCAGCTGCTCTGTGGAAGGAAGATGGGGTGATCTACTTCCACAAAGATTGATAGCCTCAGAAACCCAATGGGGGTTGCTATGAGTTGGAATCAACTCGATGGCAGTGATTT